GACTCCAGGCAGCGAGCCCCAGACATTCAACATTGCGCCCAGCCCGGCTACTGCTGGTCTTGGGAACCCCATCACGCTGGCGCCGGGCGAGCCTGTACCTGATGCGGGCACCTTGACTGACAACACAGTGCAATCTACCGTCAAGCACGACCAGCAGCCCGAGGACGACGACGAGGCCGCAACGTTGGGTGTGGCCCCCATTCCCGCCACGGCTGGCGCTGGCAACCCCATTCACCTTGCACCTGGCGAGCCCGTGCCCCATCCGAGCACCCTCACCGACAACACCGTCGACAGCACCGCCACCACCGATGCCGCATCCTATGAAAAAGCCGACGCACTGCCACCGCTTGCCTTCACTCCCCAGGCCGAGCGCGAGGCCAAGGGTGGCATGTTCGGCCTGCCCCCTGTCATGGGCAACATGATACCCGAATCTAGCCTACCCATGGGAGTCGATGCCAAGACGGAGCAGGACACGGGCGTCACGATCCAGTCTGCCGCTCCCACTAGCACCACGGCTGCTCTCGCCGCCCAAGTCCCCAAGGAACCCCGTGTCCCAGAAGCCGTCACCGAGAGCCAACACGAGGCTGGCGCTGCTCCTGAAGCCTCGTCGAACCCGGAGGCTGTCGAGGAAAAGAAGCAAGTCGAGGAAGAACTGAAGGAAAATGTGCCCGAGGCTCCTGCGGCGGCCGATAACTCGTTCCTCTCCAATGTCAGCTCCAACCTCGGAACGGCGGCTGCTACCGCCGCGGCAGGTGTCACTGCTGGTGCTGGTCTCGTGGCCGCCGCTGCGTACTCTGCCAAGGACAAGGCTGCTGAGGCCACCGGTGTCGATGCGAACACCTCTGCGGCTGACGTCCAAAACAAGGTTGCCGATGCCGTCGTCGGTTCGCAAGACTCCACTGTTGCTGCTGCTGCTGCTGACGTGCCCGTTGTTGTGGCGGAGAGTCAGCGCGAGGCCCATGTCAGTCCCGAGGCTGCTAGCAATGACGAGGCTGTCCGTGAAAAGAGCGAGGTCGAGCAGGAGCTTCTGAGCGAAGTCCCCAAGACCCACGAGGCTGGCGAGCCCGCTCCAGCCATTGCCGTCCCGGAGGTCGTCTCCGAGAGCCAACAGGCCGCCCATGCGAGCCCGGAAGCGGCTGCTAATAGCGAAGCTGTGGCCGACAAGAAGGCATTTGAATCAGAGCTACTTGGCAAGGTCCCTAGCGACGAGGCAACCGGCGACTCTGCACCCGTCCTTGGTGGTGTCGCAGCTGGAGCGGCCATTACAGGAGCTGCTGTTACAGGAGCTGCTGTTACCGGAGCTGCTCTCGCCTCCCACTCGAGCGAACCGGCCGCCGAGGTGCCCGAGGTGGTTGCTGAGAGCCAGAAGGAAGCTCATGCTAGCCCTGAAGCTGCTTCCAATGCCGAGGCGGTCAGCGAGAAGAAGGCGGTCGAATCTGAACTTCTGCACGAGATCCCAAAGAGCGACGAGGCAGGTGAGCCTGCGCCAGTGATTACTGCCGCTACATCAGCCACTGCCCCCGGAACACACACGGAGACCCCGGCTCTTGCTCATGAGGTGCCCGACGTCGTAGCAGAGAGCCAAAGAGAGGCACACGCCAGCCCTGAGGCTGCTGCCAACTCCGAGGCTGTCACCGAGAAGAAGGCCGTCGAGGCTGAACTTCTCAACGAGGTCAAGGCAACAGATGCCACAGGCGAGTCTGCTCCAGTCGCAGCTGACGCTAGCTCCACCACCAAGGCTGCTGGTCTTTCCGACGAGGCTCTTGTTGACTCGAAGCCTTTGAGTTCATCTAGCGAGCTCAACGCCCCTGCCTCCGAGCCTGCTCGCCAGGACAACACCAAGCCCATTGATGCGAACACCAACGTCACATTTGCCCCACAGGCGCCTGCCACCACCCTGCAGACTCAGCCTACAGTGACCACTGGTGTTGAGACAACCACTACTGAGGCGACAAGCAGCGCACCCGCAACCGCAACATCGCCAGAGACGCCCCAAAAGGACAACCGAAAAGATTCGGACGTGTCGCCCAAGGGTACTCCCGCACCCCAAAGCATCGCCTCTGGCGCCGACGACAAGAAGAAGAAGCGTCGCTCCATTTTCGGCAAGCTCAAGGACAAGTTTAGCAGCAAGCATTAGACGCCTTGCCCTTGCGTCTTGGCACGTCGTCTGGAGTGCCGTCTTCCCATGTTCATACGTGAGCTTAGCAATACCCCGGGTTCGCACGCTTTGTTTCATTGTTCATGTTCATCGTTCGTCACGGAGTTCCGTTTGGTCTATACCACTTTCCTTGCTCTGACTGACATGTCCTATCCAATCTACATGTGCGTCATCTACCGTCATGTTTGAGCTCAAGGAGGAGTGTGAGCGCATGACAGAGTGTAGATGTCGAGAAGAGTTGCGTGTCTTTGATCATATACCTGGGCTGCCCGATATTGGTCTACATGAGGGTAGATGATCTAGTACCATGGCATCCAGGGAGTAGTACTTAATACGCTAATAGAATGATATCACCGGATCAATAGTACATGTTCTCGTCTTATACCAGCAGGCCTCGTTCCAGGCGTTTTGCACTAACCTCGAGCGATGTCGAGTCTCCTCTGGCACATGGTGCGGCTCCGTAGACTACTAGCTAACTAGCAGCGCAGTGCAGGCACCACAAACACAATGGCGAAACTGGAATACAACAGGGCAAGCTACTATTTTGCGTATCCATTGCGCCAGCTCAAAGATGCAGTGTACCACTTCAGCACCGACACTCTCTAGAGTTGCACTCACTCGTCCATCACAATGTCACATACTCAACGCACAACGCCACCGAAACTAGGGATTATATTTTCACACTGTCTACTCCACACTCACAACCAGACGCCTATGAAAGCCCTTTTTCGATTTTCTCCTCCACCAACTCTCTTTCACTTCCCACTAACTACACTCTACACCCCAAGAGCAAGAAAACAAAGTCGCCATTCAACAACCTCGGAATCGAGAGGATAACAATACGATGGCACACCGTTATCCAGCCCCGAATACTAGCGATACAGGACGTCCATACCCCGACTACCGTGAAGAAGACGCACAAATCATGATGATGCTAGACGAGCATCTCGCTTTCACCCAGTCCTACACCGCAGCCCTAACCCCCAACCCGGAATCCGGCTACGAATTCACCTCTCCCTACACCAACAACACGGGATCCTGGACGCCGCCCCAGCCGCAGATGCAGACGCAACGGCCCACCTCCTCCGGCACCATGTTTGTAGACTGGGACGAGTACGACGGTCCCATCATCTCCTACCGCAATGGAAATGTGGAATCACAGCTGCAGTCGCAGTTGCGCGCGCGCGCGTCCGAGGCGACTCTGTTTGTGGATTGCGATGGGCAGGGTGGGATGAAGGTTTCGTATCGGGAGCAGGAGCAGGAGCAGGATCATGATGCATACATGCTAGAGGAGCGGGTCGAGTACATGGGCCTCGGACGGTGTGAGGAAACGTATGGGCGTGGACTAGCGCAGACGCGGACTTTGCGGGATAATTCACCTCCCCGGCTTGTAACGCAGGGTGGACGGTACCAAACGGCGCAGAAGTCTTCGCGGAATTTGTATGCTGGGACGCCGGTCGGTGGGCATCGGGCGTATGGTCCACCTCGCGATTCGGAGAATTATCAGGAGTGTTCTGCGCATGCGCATGTTTATCGGGATTGTGCACGCTTTCCTATACAGCATCAATACGAGCAGCATCAGCATCAGCACCAGCACCAGCACCAGCATCGTCACTCCTACCCCACCCCCATCCCAACCTTCCCTCACTCCCCCCTACCTCCCCAACCCTCACCACACCACTACCGCCCCCTCTCCTACCCCTCCCCTCCCCGCCATCTCCTACATTCCAAACCCCTCCCCACACTCCCCGTGAAAAAAGCATCCAAGAACCGGAAGCGACTTTCCGGTCTGCTGGACAAGATGGCCGGTGGGCTTTGTGGGCTGGCGGGCTGGAATCGCAAGGATGGGGGTGAGGGTGAGGTTTGGGTGCGTGCGGGGTATTATACGTGAGGGGGGTGTGTGAAGGGGGGACGGGGGATGAGGTTGGCGGGATGAGGGGGGTGATAGTGGTGGTTTGGGCGTGAAACGATTTCATTTTTTGGAATGGAACGAGAGACTTTGGGTTGGGGTGGGGAAGGCTTGGTGGGTGTAGTCAGCAGGAAATGAGATTTTTTTGCAAGAGACGTCGTGTGTTTTTTTTTATAAATTGTACAGCGAGGAATGCATGGACATATGTGGGGAATTCTTTTTTTTTTTTTTGGGGGGGGGGGGGGACTTGTCATTGTAGCTTCCACGGTTAGGCAAGGACTCTAATGTCATGACATACCATACGGCTCACACCCGCCGCCCAAGTGAATTCATCACATCCGGCATACCACAGTTGTTTACTATATTTTGGAAATACATGACGCAATCATTCATCCCTCTCCTCTCCCCCATCTCCACCTTGTGCATCTCATCCAACCTCTTCCCCGAATATTCAACATCCCAAGCCCGTTGAGCCCCGACCGCCTGTACATGCCGCACTGTATTGTTAGAACTAAAACCATTGTATCCAATCAGAAGGGCAGCCAAGACCGCAAAACTCCCCCATTAGAAGCCCTACAACGACCGCGCTACAGCAGTTCATCCAGCGCGTGCGTGAATTGTCAAGATAGTCGCAAAGTTTTGTGCCGTGTGCAGTTGAGTGAGAGATGCCAATGAAGGAACAAACTAGTACTCTCCTGGCCTAGCCTTTTCGCTTACAAGTACATGTGCTAACGCACCTCTTCGGTCTGTAAGAACCAGCCCAGCGTCCATCACCACTTTCCACAACACTTACTAGACAAAACACCTTCACCAGCCCACCCCTCCTATCGGCCAACGTTAT